AACTTCTTGTCCCAGTGATCGCATCTTCATCTTCTGAACTGCTACCTGGGACTCGCCTGTTCGCTTCTATTATCACAGACTCTCGAACAGGAATGAAACTGCAGGTGCCGACTGGCTGTCAACTTTTAATGCGAGGGTGGCTATGAAGAACTGATGCCTCGTGATCCGAATAAATAACCAGTATGTGAGCTCACACGTTTAAAAAAACGGGAGAACTGGACACTGCGTGCTCGATTGTGGGACTCGTAGCGCACCTGCAAATCAGAGCCGAGACAGCAAGACTCCGATGCAGAAACGCCTTGAACTTACCTTCCCCACAAAAATGTGCTGACTGCCGTAGTATTGCACGCAGGACGCTGATCTATTTCTCCTCTTTCGAACACAGAGCTTGCGGCAGCAAAGAATTACGAATAAGAACTGCCAGTATAAACAATCTGCTTAGGCGATCCTATCTGCTGCCTCGAAACTACCGCCAAAATCTTACCTTTTCGCATGCATCGGACACTTTCACTTCTATTACGGGAGTGCAATTGAAACGGGTGGACGAGGAGGCGATTCGGTCGTTTAGAGTTGTCGGACTCCAGGGTCTCAAGGCCGACCATTTCAGGGCATCCTCAACCAACCGTCCATAATCTGCAAAAAAGCCATCAGCCGACTTTTCCAAGTGGACACCAACGACGAGGTCAGTTATTCGCCTCCCCTTTAGAGAAACACTCAGACTTGGAAAACTCGACCTGTCAAAAAGCCTCGAACAGGAACGAAACCGCAGGTGTCGATTAGCTCTCAACTTCTAACACGAGGGTGTCTAACGAGAACCGATGTGTCTTGGGCCCAACCAATAACCAGTATGCAGGCCCACACGTTTGGAAAAGAACAAGGGACCCCGATCCTACGCGCTGGATTTGGGGATTCGTAACGCACCTGCAACTCAGAGCAGAAACATTAAGACTTCAACGCAGTAGCGCCTTGAACTTGCCCTCCCCACCAAAGTGTGCTAACACAGGACACTGATGTACTTCTTTTCACTCGAACACGAAACCATAGGTAGCAACGAATAAAAAATCAGAACAGTCAGTATAGACAACCTATTTAGGCGATACTATTTACTGCTCCGGAGCTACAGCCTAAAACTTACCTTTTCGCATGAACCAGGCACTTTAAATTCTGCCACGGCTGTGCATCTGGCAAGGGACTAGAGGGTCCGCCGACGGTCGCCCATTTCAGGGCATCCTCAAACAACCGTCCGTAACTTGCAAAGAAACCATCA